CTGCCCTTTCTCCCCTCATCGTTCATCCCTGGCCCCCCCCCCTGGAGGAGACCTGGAGGAGGAGGAGGAGGAGGAGGAGGAGGAGGAGGAGGAGGAGGAGGAGGAGGAGGAGGAGGAGGAGGAGGAGGAGGCCATCACTCCTGCGTTCTGCCCTGCCCCTCCCCCTGGAGGAGACCTGGACCGCCAGCGAGATGCGCGAGGACATCTCCGTCCTGCACGGGTGGGAGAACGATTCCAGGCCGCCCGGCCGCCCCGCGGAGGGGGTCGGCGGGTGCGGCGCGAAAGGCCATTTCGTGATGCCAAGCTGCAAAGCTGTATTTCCATGCGGCAGCAGATCCTGGGAGCCTGGTATACCCTCCCAATTCGGTCTTTGGCGTCGATCAGCGTCTGGAAGTCGGTGGGATGGCGCCGATTTACCGTCGGCTAGTGTCGACTAGCGTCCATTTCGCGTCGACTAGCGTCGATTCGTGTCGATCCAGAAGAGCCGGCAAGATGGTGTGGGAGGCTCCCATAAGTTGTTAGCGATTTTCCATGTGGCCAGCCCCCCCCCCTCATCTTTGCCGTGAGTTTTCAACAGCCACCTGGGTGGATCGTGAACGATCTTAAACATGTTGCTCTCGCTTCGGCGCTGCGCGCAGTCGTCTCAAGTCCACTCCTCCAACAGCGTGGCGGATAAAGGGCGGGCGGTTTTCAACATGTGACTCTCGCCTTAGCGCCGCACACGTTAGAACATCCAGCGGTTCACGGGTGGATGACGGCGTTTTTTCAGAATTGGGCCGTGTTGTTGAGATTACAAAGGTTGTGGCCGATTACCCAAATTTTTGCTGCAACAGGTGAACGGATGGAGCGTGGAGTGTGGTTCGTGGTCAAAATATGGTTCTCGCTTGCGAATTCCTTTTGCATGTTACTACACGGGTGGAGGGCGCCTGTTTCCTACAACAAATTGGGCTCTCGCGGGACAGTTTCTTGAATTGTATGGTCATGCCCTCTGGCACTTCTCATAGCTAGAAAGATGAGATGACGGTTCCTTTGGCTCCTGCTCGAATGCCCGTCGGGTTTTGTTTTTCAAAGGCGAGATCCCGTGGTGAAACAAACGGAATGTTGGGAGAGGTTTATGAGGACGGTGCCTTAGGACGGGAGGGTGTCTTGATGTGTCTTGCAGCGTCGCTGTTGTATCTTGGGATCTGCCTCGCTATCATTATCCACCTCCTCCTTCTCCTCCTCCGCCTCCTCCTTCTCCTCCTCCTCGGAGCCTCTCCCAACGCAAGGGTCGAAAACAGTTTGTAGTGTTTGCAGTTTGCTGCGTAGTTGGGGGCGGACCGAGTCGGGTGTGTGAGGGCGTCCTCCAGTTCCCCTCCGTCATCCGCCTATTCCCTCTTCTCCCTCCTCGTACAGTGGAGACGCGCATCTAGAGACTGGAGTATGTTCGTCAGGGTGTCTTGTTTTTTATTCGTTTCGCGCGTTGCGCGGTGACTGGTGCATCCAGGATACCTCGTCTCCTCCACTTGCACTTCGCGCGCGCAATAGCCCGCCACCGAGGAAACTCCAGGGCGCCAAAGCTAGTCTGGGTTAGTTGCATCTGTGCGAAACTGGGCCGCACATTCTTAGGCCTCGCAGCGACATTGCAAGAAGAATGCAGGGCATTCGAGGGTTCTTGGGCAGCGCAGCCCCGATTGGTGGGTCGCAGGGGGCGCGCAGGAGTCTCTCCACGATCGCCAGGGCACCCTCGGCTTCCTGTAGCGTCTGCGAAGCGCGCCCAAGAAAAACCACGCAGCGGTACCAAAAGAGGTCGAATTTGTCATTGGGGCACAGGCTGCGTCGCATGGGGAATGCAAGAATTCCTGTGAGCAGCAGAGGCACCCCAAGCTCTTGAATCATGCTTGGTCGACCTGGCTACGCAGCGAAATGGCCCCTCCAGGACAGCCCAGCTCCCCCCACCAAGATCCTTGCAGGACCCCAGAGGATTCCCAAAGTCCCAGGTTTTCCAGGAGCCCCTTGGAACCCAGAGGATTTGGCCAAACCCTTGAGGACGCACTACCAGACCCCCAGGGCCCCCAGGACTACCCAACATCCACCCGTAGTTCCCTGCCACTTTCCAGGGATATCCAGGATTTCCCAGAAGCTTGTGGTCTTCTTCTTGTGATTGCTAATCGTTATCATGCTCACCCTCATCTCTCTCCTCGTCATCCTCCGCCGTCTTCTGCCCCTCCTTCCAGTTTTCGTTGTCCTCCCCATCCTTTGGCGCTTTCCTTCTCCTCCTCATCCTCCTCATCATTCCCGTATCCCGAATGCGGCTGCGTAGCGATGCGATGGGCTCGTGTAGTCGACTCAGCGGGTACCCGAGGCTGGTTCGTTCGTTCGTTCCTTCTTGTCCTCGCCCTACCTCTCCTCGTCTTCCCCCCCCTCGTCGTCGTCCTCCTCCTCCTCCTCCTCCTCCTCCTCCTCCTCCTCCTCCTCCTCCTCCTCCTCTGCCTCCTTCTCCTCCTCCTCCTCCTCCTCCTCCTTCTCGCTCCTCCCCCTCCCTTTCCCCCTGAACATACCCCCTCGTCCTCCTACTCCTCCTCCTCCTCCTTTTCCTCCTTCTCCTCCTCCTCCTCCTCCTCCTCCTCGTGCTGCCTTTCCGCGTCCATCATCAACTCCTTTTCCTTATGAATAACTTCTCCCTCTCGCACCCCGAGGCAAGTTTATAATGGCGGCCGGGCGTTTCGCCTGAGAGAGACTTCCTCGCTATTCATGACTCTGAAGCTGGAAATTTGGCAAAAGTTCCACCGATGGAGGGCGGGTCGTTTTCAAAATGTGGCTCTCGCCTTAGCGCCGCGTGCATCCGCTTCAAATTTGCCAGAGTTTCACGGATTGCGGGCGGTTTCTTGTCAACATGTGGTTCTCGTTTTCGCGCCGCGCATTTTCCTATAAGTTTGCAAGAGTTTCGCGGGTATTCATGATCAGCGTACCAGAAATGGTCTGTTGGAAGGAGTCAGGATTATGAGAGTGCTGCAGTTACGTTGGTTCGCGGTGTTGAAGTCCCAGGAATGGAACCCCGAGAATACTGTTTTGGCACGTGGCAGGGTCTTCAAACGTTTGTCTTCAACGAGGCAGTTCCTTCAGTGTACATGAACCTTCGTGGGGGCCTATGAAGTGGGAGCTTGGAGGGAGGGTTTACTACAGCATCGTTGATGGCCCTTAGGTCTACACTGGTCCTCCTCCTCCTCCTCCTCCTCCTCCTCTTCCTCTTCCACTGCGCGGGACCTCTCCTCCTTCCCGGCATCCGCCCTCCCGCAATCGAAAGCCGTCAGCGACACACCCACACACCGATCTTGGCCAGGCCCACCGCTGGCCCGAGGCCAGCGCAGACGCACCCCGCCCCAAGGGCTCGGCCAGGGAGGCGGTGCACTGCGCACTCCGAGCCATGGGTCCAGCAGGGACCTGGACACGATCGGCGTCAGTCTAGAAAGTCGAGGCGGACTAATAGTTCGACCCTGCCAAAGCAAGAGTACCCTTGCGTCCTGTGTCTCGCGACCCATGCTCCTACATTCATGTGGCAGTGTGGCCTTCGGAGGAGTCTTGTGTCCTCTCGCGTGTCCTCTTCGATCCACCCCGGCTGTAGTGGGTCTCTGTCCCACTCCTCCCCATTCACCCGCCCGCCCGACGGCACAGTCAGAGCAGCGGCACCGATCGCGAGCTTCAGGTCTGGTGCTGCTGAAGCTCGGATTCCCCAACGCAGGGCTCGAACCAGACCGTGTTTTGGCGAGTTCGTGGGCCGTGTTCGTTTCGATTTCGCTTTGCGCCAACGGCGGAACGAAGACCGAACGAGGGAACACGAAACCACAACGACAACGGGACATCTTGTTTAGCTCGAGCCTTGGCCCAACGCGCGTGATGTCCGCAGCGACGATCTGTGGCTGGGGTTCGGACTTGGGTTGCGTAGGAGTTCCAAACTTCGAACTTCAGCGTGTTAGGATGCACATGGGACCATACGTCGGGTGATACGGAGGTGTGGTATTAAGGGTGCAGCGAATCATATTCGCGGTCTATCAATATATCGATCTTGATCTCACACTCTATCGGTCCACAGTATCAATCATCTTGCCCACCTCCCCCCGGTCCCTCTCCTCCTACCCCCTTCTCCCCCTCCTCTGCCTCCTGCTCATCGCTCCTCCGCATCCTCCTCCTGTCCCATCCTCTCGCCCCCTCCTTCTCCTACCTGCTCTGCGCTCAGGTTCGCCAGCGTGGTCAAGGCCGCGCTGTATGACATTGGACGGGGCGGCTCTTGGCAGAATGCACCGCTGAGGAGGGGGAGGAGGAGGAGGAGGAGGAGGAGGAGGAGGAAGAGTTGAGGTGCAGGAGGGTTGGGGCTTTCACCCGTCGGATTTTTGCTTCTGCCCTGCGTAGGATATGCCAGTCGGTTGCGACGACCTGGAGTTGCTAGGTCACCCGCGGGGACGCGGAGATGTTGCGGTTCTTGCTTCGCGGCCTGGGCCGGAGAGGGGTCCTTTTGCAGGGGATTGGCGTGAGGGCACGAAGGAACGAGCACATCGCGCTTCGCGATGTCGGGAGGGGCGAGCGATTTTTCCTGACGTTTGCGAGCAGGCACTTTGCGAGCAGTGCAACGCGCTCGGTGAGCCAGAGACGGACCCGAGGAACCGCGAGCCCCTGTCCGAGACCGAGCTGCTTCCTTGCTTCGTCGACTCTTGGCCGCATCCGTGCCCCTGCAGTGAGGAAAGAAACGAGCACATGCGCAGTGAGAATTCTTAATTCTTATCGTATCCACACCGGCCCATCCCGGAACGATGCTTAGGAGTGGAGCCCTTATCGGGGGAGCGTGGCATCACTCAGATACTTCGGGGAGCCTGAGTGAGCTAGAGGGCTCTTGAATGCCTCTCGGAGTCGCTTAGGATGTCTCCTGGGGGGCTTTTGGTGGCCTCTTCTGGCGTCTTGGGGGTCCCTTGGGAATCACCTCCGCGATTTATGCCTGAACCCCCAAGCCCCCAGCCAGGTTATTCGTCGTCCTTCCGCAGGGGGGGGCCTCCTCGCGGCGACCTGTACTAGCGTGCAGCTAATACTAGAGTGCGCCCAGGGTCAAATTAAGATTAGTTCTAGAGTACAACTACTACGGTATTGTGAAACTTGTGTTTCACTTGTGCATGCCGCAGTTTCGAAATTGTGCAAACTTGCCCTGTCGCCCAGGATACTTGTGAAACAATTGTTCTGCTACACGGCTTTCGGGGAGATGCTTGTCACCCTTGTGTTGTTGCTCATTGTATGGTCTCATGTTGACACCCAGGAAACGAATGAAATAAGGGTTTGTTCTCACATGGTATCCGGGGTGACATGTGTTTCCCCTGTGCTGTGTCACACCGTATGGCGAAACAGCTGTTTTTGTCTCCCTGTTATGGGGGTGGCACGTGTCACTCTTGTGCTGCTTCACATTGTAGGGTCCCATGTGGGCGCCTAGGTTATGACCGAAACAACTGTTTTTTCTCACAGTCGTTCTGTGGTAACATGTGTCACCCCTGTCTTGTTTCACATTGTATGGTCCAGGCTCGGGAAACAGTTTCATTTGTTCTTCTTCACGCGATTTCGGGTTGACATGTGCCATCCCTGTAACGTTTCGCATACCATGGTCCCATGTTGGGAACACATTGTTCTTCTCACACGATTTTCGGTCTCACACTCTACGGTCCGATGTTGACGCCCTGAATGCGAGTGAAGCAATCGGCCTTCTCAGATGGTTTTCGGGATGGCACGTGTCACCTTTGTATTGTTTCACATTGTATGGTATCATGCCGACGCCGAGAACACGACCGACTGGTGCAGAAGCACTCTGTTTTTTTCTGTTGCAAGGAATGGTATGGAATGGCTGGGAAGTGTTGGCACTGCACACGGCAGGCATGATGCCATCACCCCCGCCGTCCCTGCCAAGCTCCAACTGCTCCAACTCAGGGTGATCGCGGGGCGTCCGCGCATGATCCAGACTCTGGTGCAGCGTGCACCTCGGACTGTCTTTTGGGGCAAGGGATGTGTGGGGGTGGTGGCACTGCACGCGGCAGGCAACATGCCCGCACCCCCGCCATCCCTGCAAAAAAAAGCAGCCACTGCAGCGCGACCGCGGGGCGTCCGCACAGGGGGATGGCGTTCGGCAGCAAATCATGGGAGCCTTGTGTGCCCTCGCAGTTCTGTCTCTGGCGCAGATGAGCGTCCACTAGCGTCTGGGAGTCGAGGAGATAGCGCCGATGTAGCGTCGGCTAGCGTCGATTCAGCGTCGATGAGCGTCGATTTAATGTCGACCAGAGACGACTCGCAAGGGCCGGCAAGATGGTATGGGAGGCTCCCATGAGCTGCCACCGAAGATGGCGCTAGGGTTGTTGGCATGGTATCGGGTTTGTCGCCAGTCGGGTGGGGGGGGGTGTATATCAGCAAAGAACAGTTGCCAAGACGCCTCTCTCAGACGCGCACTGGTTTGGTTCACACGCACCCGCCCTCCCACAACATCAGTAGTACCCGAGTCTCAGAACAAGCTGGGGCCGCCATCAACAACCACCGGGAGCAGCGGGAACAGGAACAGGTGCGCGACCGCGAGGTGCGCCGCACGTGCCAGATGCACCACGCGCACCGACTGCGCTACATTGGGCAATATGTCGACCGCCCACAATCCTTGACAAAAACAAAGAAAAGACGGCGGATCTGCGAGCATCGTGTTGTGTGTATTGTGTGTGTGTGTGTATGTGGGGGGCATGCGCCCTTGCGTCGTCTTTGGATGGACAGCTGCTGGGAACCAGTACAGACCCCAGGTGCGCGACGCTGGGGCGAGTTGCGCCACGCATGCCAGGCGCGCCAGGCTCTCAAGGCGCACCAGGCGCCGGGCACGCCTGATGCGACACGTGCTCCAAGTGGGCCAAGTGTGCCGCATGCGCCAGTCGCGCAAGTTGCGCCCCATTAGGGGCACGCTCGGAAGAGGAAAAGGCACCCATACCGCTACCCTTGCCTCGTTTTCCCTTTTTTGGGGGCCTGAGAGGCCCTCGTCGCCACCGCTGGATTCGCTTCGCATCCTTGTCAGAATGCACCCCTGGAGAGGTCAGGGGAATAGCGGTATTAATGATACCTTTTGGTTTTCCCAGAGTGTGACAGGTGAACCCGCGCACGTCGGGAAACATGTCGGCCCCCTCCATCCGTGTCGAAAACCACTGCACAATCGCGGTGGAGTGGCCACCATGACGTCTGGTGGGCCCGCACACAGCAGGCAACATGCCAGCAACGTGATCGCGGGGTGCCCGCGCATGATCCAGACTTAGCCGCGCAGTGCACTTGGTTTTGTGTTTCGACAGGTGGTGGCCCGAAGCACAGCAGGCCATATGCTGGCACTCCCGCCGTCTCTGTCGAAAGGCAGAACAGAGTGCTCACGTCCCCCCGAACATGACCCGAGATTCTGCCGCAAAGTGCACTCTGCATGCTTTTGTGGACAGGTATAGCAGGGGGGGCGCATTGTCCCAGGTTTGTCGCCCGTCTGGTGGAGGAAGGGGTGCACATATACATAAATATATATATATATATATACACAGACAGAGGAGCAGTGGGCAAACCCTCCCCGAAGGGGAATGATTCCCTGATAGCTCCTTGGAGAGCCGAAAGGGTTTCAGGTTTAGAAGCCGGCAGGCAGGACTACGCCAGCTCTTCTTCGAGGCATCCCCGGAGCAGGCGTCCCTGGAGCAGGCTGCTTGAGGCTGCAACGGGTCCCGAGAGGCGTTTTCCGACTCGTTGCCAATACGCGTGCCCAGAGCCTTCCCGCAGGTCCTTCGCAGCTCCCTCGAAGTTCCTTCCACGCTTGCGTCTCGAAGCCTGCAAGCTTCCCCCAGGCATGCTTTCCAGCACCCTGGCAGGCGTCTCCCACAAAGCGTGTGCCGGGCCTGCAAGCTCCCCAGGCATGCTTCCCAGCTTCCTTGCAAGCGTCTCCCATAAGCGTTTTACGCACTTTGGACTGCGTCGCTATCCGGGTTTTGGTGGATTGCACAATAGGGTTGGATGACGAAGCGCCCTAAACCACCTACGCCCGAAAAAGCTGGTGGGACCAGGAGCCAGCATGGAATAGCCTACAAAGGCATGGGAACGTAGCACTGTCTACGACATGGCGTGTGCATGCTGCGTCTGTGATTCAAGAGATCAAGAGAATCGTAGGCAGTGGGCACTCGTCATCGCAGGGGAAGGTAGCGCTGGCTACTAGATGGCGTGCGTGCTGCGTCTGTAAACCAAAGGTCCAGAGTGTCGTAGGCACTAGGCACCCACCATCGCAGACTCATGATGTGGCCCGTTCTTGGTGGTTTTTGCCCCCTGGGCCAGGATACACGAACTCCGGCGCGAACGTGCTCAAGGGGAACAAATAGTGATGGCTTTTCGCTCGTCGTCGTCGTCGCCGTCGCCGCTTGTCCGTCTTTCTCTCCGAGGCCTCCAAGCTCGCCCCTCCAGCCCGATGCATTACAGTGGAATCCCATGCCAAGTGACAACCTGCTTTTGCCTCCAGTGTGTCCTGGGTTCTTGGTCCCGATGGTTCTACGATGGAAAACGTGACGCTCCCACACCAAAAGTCGGTGGACGTCCTGGGGTCTCAGGCTTGGGCTTCTTGTGGAAGGTTTCTCGTGGTCGAGCTCCTACTGTATCCTCGATGTATCGTTGCTTGCCTCGATTCCTCGCCTTTTCGCCCCCTGGCTCCCCTCTTCGGTAGCAAATCATGGGAGCCTTGTGTGCCCTGGCAATTCTGTCTTTAGCGCCGATGAGGGTCTGGGAGTCGATGCGATAGCGCCGATATAGCGTCGGCTGGCGTCGATTAGCGCCGATTTAGCGTCGATCAGCCTCGATTTAGCGTCGACTAGCGTCGACTCGCAAGAGCCGACAAGATGGTATGGGAGGCTCCCGCGAGTTGCCACCGAACCTCTCGGCCATGTAACATCCTCGACTCCTTCCTGCGCTGGCTCTCTCCTGTGCCGAAAAGTTCTCCAGCTGGCTCTTCCCCGTCTCCTGCTGCTGCTGCTGCTGCTTCAAGTGAGAAAGTTCTCTTGGCATCGCTCGGACGTGTGCATGCTTCTTCTCGGCGAGGGCCATTGAGGAGCATCCTGGATCATCCTGCGAAAGAAAAAGGCATGCGCGAAACCAGAAGAGCGCACGGGGAATGGGCGTCCCAGCGATGGCGAGGTGGGGATTTTTTATGGGGGGCACTGGGGAGAGGATGGAGGGACGAGGACGGAGAGGAGAGAGGCAGGAGCGGAGCGGAGGGGGGGGGGTAGACGAGCGAGCACGAGCAGGAAGGGGGCGGATGGGGCACTCTGGAGGGGGCGGGGTTGCCTGTGCAGCGGCCCCTACCATAGGGTAGGAGGCCGCGCGCACCAGGCAGCCCCCAGGACCGACGGGAGGAAAGGGAGCCTGCATCCATGTTTTCACCCGGGGGTCCTGCCTTTGTTTAGTAACGCGAGGTAACTCAGACCCCCAAGGGCCTTATCCTTATCCTTATCCTTATCCTCCTCCGCTTCCACCTCGTCGTCCTCCTAATCTTCGCCTCTTCGCCGCCGCCTCCTCCTCTGCTCCTCCTCCACACGCTCTCCCTGCTCCTGGGATCCAGGGCTCCCGCTCGCCCGATGGGCCTGCAGCTCTTCCCCGGTCGTGCAGAAGCCGCACGCCGCTGGAAGCAGACCTTCCAGATCCCGACCTGCCTCGAATCTCTCATGCACACTCGAACCGTCGGAGGAGCGCCCGTGTGCGTCCCTTTGGGGGGGGGCTGGGCTCGAGCCGCCCTCCTCCTCGTGCTTCCGCCGTCGAAGGAGCGCCCGTGTGCGTCCCTTGGGGGGGGGGCTGGGCTCGAGCCGCCTTCCTTCTCGTGCCTCCGCCGTCGGAGGAGCGCCCGTGTGCGTCCCTTTGGGCGGGGGCTGGGCTCGAGCCGCCCTCCTCCTCGTGCCTCCGCCCGCCCGCCTCGCCCGCCTCCGAGCCGCCTGCCGGCGGAGCCCCCGCGGGGGGGGGCGAGGGCCTCGGGCGCAGCTCCGGGCCGCTCCGGCTGGGGCGGCCGCGGGGGGGGGGGCGCGGAGAGGAGCCGCGCGCCGCGCACCTGCGGCCTGGAGCTCGGCATCGCTCGGACGTGTGCACTTTTCCTTCGGCGAGGGCCATCGAGGAGCATCCTTGATCACTTGGCGAAAAAACCACGCACGAGACCGAAAAATGCACGGGAAATGGACGGTCCGAGCGCGGAGAGGAGCCGCGCGCCGCGCGCTGCGGCCTGGGAGAGCGGCCGCGCGCCCACAAGGCGGGGGCGGCGCCGGGGCGCGCGAAGGTCGGAGCCCTCCGCCGCGCTCCGCGAGGCGCGGGCCCAACGGGTGGCCGCCCTGGGCGCCCGCGGCACTCGTGGGGGGGGAGCCTCGGATGGCGTCGGAGGGCCCCGGCGGGCCCCGAAGACGATGCGCACAGCTTGGGCAGTGGGACGGCCGGCCTTTCCGGCGGCCGACGCGTGGGCGGCGCACGGGCGACGAACGCGCGACGCACCCCTTGTCGCGAGGGGGGGGGTCAGCACGCCGGTCGCGCTACTGGGCCTCAACAAGAGGCCCCCTGTGGGCTCCACGTGAAGTCGTCTGGTCCCGGGGGGGGGCTTTCCGGGGCGTTCGGGGGGGAAGCCGTCGGTCTCGTGCGCACGCCGGGAGGGGCAGTTCGGGGAGGTACAGTGGCGCACTCGGGAAGGGCAGTTGGCCCCTGCCGCATACCTTGCACCAATTCCGCAACGATTTTGGGAGACGTGCACATCCTTATCCGTTCATATCAGTCCTGACTGCATGAGCGGGCATCTCGTTCCCCTCACCCCTCTTTCTCGCAAGGTTGCGGCAACCTTGGGCCATGACTTCTGCTGTCACGCCCGTGCTCGAAGCTGCAGCACGCATCGAGGAGCGCCTCTAGCCGCTTCTCGAGCCTTGGGAGGTGCGGCCTTTGGCACCTGGAGATGTGATCCGATGCGTCACCCTCAATGGCGGCGATCTCAGCTGTGAAAGCCGCGATCTGGGCTTCTACCCGCTCGAGAGCTGCTTTCGCCTCCTCTCGCGCCTTCCTTCGGCTTCTCCGTGGCCGCGGATCGCTCGGGGCGCCGCTCAGTGACAGCGCCGAAGATGGCTCGCGCTCTTCTCCGCACCACTCGTGCCATGCGTGCCATCCCCACGACAGCAGGCTCCACGCGCACGCGGCTTGCCTGTGGCCGGCCCTGGTCTCGCTGCCGAGGGGGCGACCGCCCGTCCCTCGTGGGCACCCGGCCTCTGACCCTGCACGTCGCCGGCTTCCGCCTTGGCGGCGGTGGCGAGAGTCCCCGCGAGGTCGGCTCCACCTCGGCGCTGCCGCCTGCTGGCCGGCCTTGCGCCCAGCACGGCCTCGACGACGACGACGACGACGGCGACGACGACGACGACGACGACGACGACGACGACGACGACGACAACGACGATGACGAAGACGCCGACTCGGCCCGCGGTGCGCGGCTGCCGCGCGCCGCGTGGCTCCCGCAGCAGCTCCCACGGGGGCGGCCGCCGTGAGCAGCGCGGTCTCCAATCGACTCGGCATCGCTCGGACGTGTGCATTTTTTTCGCGGCGAGAACCATCGAGGACCATCCTGGACCATCGAGCAAAAAAACACGCACGAAATCGAAAAATGCACGGGAAATGGACGTCCGAGCGACGGCCTCGACGAAGACGACGACGACGACGACGACGACGACGACGACGACGACGACGACGACGACGATGACGATGACGACGACGAAGACGCCGACTCGGCCCGCGGCGCGCGGCTGCCGCGCGCCGCGTGGCTCCCGCAACAGCTCCCACGGGGGCGGCCGCCGTGAGCAGCGCGGTCTCCAATCGAGGGCACGCAGGTCTGCGTCGTGACGACGTGGCGGCGACGCCGCCGTTGGCGTTCCAGGTTGGACGCCCCAGCATCTGCCCATTATTCGAAGAAGGATAGAAGCCATAGACATAAACCGTTGGCGCTCCGCGCGGATTTCTTGGATCCTCGCTGGGCCCCCCTGGCGGCGCCTCCGGCGCGCGCCAGGGAGGGGGGTCCAGCGCAGATCCAGGAGATCCGCGGGGAGCGCCAAAACTTGGGCTTATGGCGTTCTTCCTCCTTCTGACTTCTGAATATGGAGCGATCTGGCGATCGAAAAAGGCCGCCGGCCGTTCAAGATTGAACGATGCACGCGGTGCCAGGAAAACCACGGTGCAAGCCGTCACGGCTCGAGCCTGCCGTAGCCGAAGGCGGGGGTTAGGGAGCGAACCCAGCTTGGGGCTGGTGTTCCTCGTCTCCGGGGGCCGCCCACAAGTCAATGTCCTTCTTGACACCCCCCTCTGCGCCGACCCCTCCTGTGCAGTGGAGGCCCATGCCAAGAAGCGGAAGCACCCTGCTTGCCTCCAGGGTGCCCTGGGTTTTTTGGGGTTCGCTGGTTTTGCCATCGAAAGCATGACGTTCCCACGCCAAAAATCGATGGAAGTCCTGGGGGTTCAGGGTTGGGTTTCTTGTGGAAGGGTTCTTGTGGTCGGCCCCTACTGTACCCGTCGGCTAGCATCGATTAGCGTCTGAGAGTCGATAAGACAGCGCCGATTCAGCGTCGATTTGGCGTCGATTAGCGTCGATTCGCAAGAGCCGACAAGATGCTATGGGAGGCTCCCATGAGTTGCCACCGAAGGGGCGCGAAGAGGATCGCGCTTCGCGCGGCGCGGGCTGGGCTGGCACGCTGCTCGCTTGCGGGGGCGGCGGGCGCGAGAGTTCGAAGGTAACGCTGCGTGGCGCATCGCGCTGCGCAACGTACAAAATCAGGTAACCCAGGGAGGAGGGGGGGTGGATGAGGAAGGGTGAGGAGGAGGAGGAGGACGAGGAGGAAGAGAGAGGCTGCTTGGACCAACTGCCTTAAGTCTGACAGAGGGAGGAGGAACAGGAGGAGGAGGAGGACGAGGACGAGGACGAGGACGAGGAGGAGGACGAGGAGGAGGACGAGGAGGATGAGGATGAGGATGAGGGTGAGAATGATGAGGATGAGGATGAGGATGAGGATGAGGATGAGGATGAGGATGGTGATGGTGATGATGATGATGATGATGATGATGATGATGATGAGGATGAGGATGAGGATGAGGATGAGGATGAGGATGAGGATGAGGATGAGGATGAGGATGAGGATGATGTGGATGATGATGATGATGCTGATGCTGATGCTGATGATGATGATGCTGATGCTGATGCTGATGCTGATGATGGTGGTGGTGATGGCGATGGTGATCGTGATGGTGCTGCTGCTGCTGCTGATGATGATGATGATGATGATGATGATGATGATGGTGATGGTGATGGTGATGATGATAATGATGCTGATGC